CATACCTGACGAGGCATGATACACTCATGTCCTCTACACTCATGCCAGTGAGTGAAAAAAACGAAAATAACTACTGGCTGGATCTAGCATTCCATCAGGGCACGTCCTGCCGGTGGAGACAACCTAATTTCGTATTCTTGATTCCCCACGGATTTAGATACTCTCGTGAAAGAGGTAAAATTAACTACCAAAAAATTTTTGACGCTATTTACCCTTTACTGCCCCGCCCCAATCTTCCGAAAACAGGCCAGTTTTTGACCGACTTTTTTCTGCGTTGGCAGAATTGGCTGAAAATTTGTTCCCTGGGGTAGTTTGACCTCCTGAACATGAATATCACATCCGCTCGGCACGAAACCTCCTGGCGCCCGCGCCACAGGCGCCGGCGCCAAAATACCTAATCACCAAATTCGCTGAAAACTTGTTCGCAGAGGTAGTCTGACCTCCTGAACACGAGTATCACTTCCGCTAGCCTTCTGGCGCCTGCGCCACAGATGCTGGCGCCAAAATACCCCAAATTGTCGGCGCAAGCAAGTTTTCGGGCCAGGTCAGTGTGATATTCGTGTTCAGAAGGTCAAACCTCAGGAGACAACATTTGAGCCAAATCTGCCCACGGAGAAAAAGGTCGGTCAAAAACTGGCTCAGTTTCGGATGGTTGGGGCAGTAAAGGGTAAATAGTGCCATTTTTTTTCTCACATCCTCCACCTCCCGCTCGGGAACCCCCAACGTAGAACGTGTCCTGATTCCAATACGACTGTACAAGACATCCTTTATAAGTCCTCTTTATCAGCATTTTTAACGCTTCATAGGGGAACAATAAAAATCTACATGATTTCAACAAATACACTACACATTCACTATATGACGAGCACGCTTATCATCTCACAATATCATCCACTATCAACAGAAATTCACAAGCAAATAGAGAAGGAGAAACGACATACATACATACATCCAACATATGCCTGGCCAAGGACCAAATCAATAAAGTTCAAATTTGAATTTGCACTTCACTATCATCATGTAAAGTAAATCAAGTATTGAAACAAAAAGCGATTCGTCAATGAATATGCAAGTAACATGAACAACGCCACCCATATCCTTACTCAACACTCGAAGAGAGCAGTCCAACCGTTATCGGCTTCGCTCCTTATGTACAGCAATAACAAACATCAGCAAGATCCATAGTTCATCAGGGGAACAGTGAAAATGCGGAGAAAGAGAAGAGAAACAGAAAAAGAACTACCACTACTCAGCAGCTAAATGTAGTAACTATACACAAAAATGCAGTGAAAGAGATTTTCAGAGATTGATAGAGTGATCATAGAGTGAAATAACAACATTAATATTTAGAAGTAGGTAGATAGACGCGCACCTTAGCATAGAGAACATAATAGGAATTAACAAGGAACACTTTCACCGACTCGGCTTTGTGAAGTCAAAATCAATCAACGACGCGGTAAATCCGAAGGCTCATTGAGAGCAGCATCGTTTCAGCAAGAGGGCGCAATGGCGCGGCCCTAATTTCCTAGTGGATATCGTACAGAACCCGTGAACACTGACTACTTTTGACTACGTCTATAGAATAACACAGGAGAAGACTTTGAACGGCCGCGATCACCTAACCGGGCGTGGACATCACTTGACGTGGCCAGCCGATCTTCGCATCGTGGCGCTTATAGGCGAACAGATGCGGTTTTCCAGTGCCTCGCAAATTGTCACGGATCGCGTCAGGACATTCGTGCGGCAAAAGGCATGACTCGTAGCCATTTACTATCAAGTATCTGGAAATATGACTTCCTTCACATCACTTTCAGCACTGGATTATATCAAATTAACAGTTTGCTGTTTAGTTCGCCGCGAATGATGGGGCGTGTGAGGGTGGCCGGAATTGGCGCGCCACCAACCCGTTCTCCACCTGTTGCTTACACTCTAGTTGGCAGCCGACGAAGGGGCGTGTCAGGCAGTATGAGTGTGCCACGGTGAAAAACCCGTTCTATGCCAGTTGTAGAAGAGCGTATGCTGCAACAACCGGTAGAAAACTAGTGATACACATGAGATGATGCAGTCATGCCACTTGCTCGCTCCAACAGCAGTGAAGAACGGGGTTTGGCACCACGCCAAACCGAAGTGAGCTATACCGCAAGCGGGAAAGCGACAACCAGCGACAACCAAAAGTACCAGTGCGAGCAATGCGATAGTTCTGTTTCTTGCCCAAACAAAAGAGAAGACGTGCCGGCGCCGTGCTAAGCTCATCCCCTAACACGCCTCATCATCCGCAGGGAACAAAAAGGAGTACACTGTTATTGAAAGAAGGACTGTTCGTCCAAATGGCAAAAAAAACCAAATGATTAGCCAGTATGCGAGATAAAAACCTAGCAATGCACCTTCCCCAACCCTTGAAAATCGCCAAGTTACTAAAGGTGCTAAAGGTCATCTTACAATGCTTAATGTCTTCCGAATTTTTATGAAAACGGCCCATTTTCAGGCTTAAATATAGCAGGAACTCACAATCCATGGTCTTCAGGATTCGTAATCCCTTGCTGATGAGCAATCACACGACACAGTTTGCCCGTCGTCATCTGTGGTACACCAGGAAATGTCGCATATCTGAACAATCATGTCAATCACTACTCTCAAGAATGATGAAGAACGAATGTTTTGCGCTCGTGCGAACGAATAAACTGCATTACTGCAACCAATGTGCTTAGTTTATCTATAGCCACCGCAGCTGTTTGGAAAAGAAAGCGTGAATGTGCTTCATGGGCACTTTTAAGCTCACAGGCAAAGCGAAAAGACCGTGGGCTGAGTCAGGCAAAAGGAACCGGTTAGAGAAAGCGTAGATACGACACGTCTGATGGGGAGAAAAGGAAAATGAAATTCCTAGATCCCACCATTGGGAAGTTAGAGACCATCAGAAGAGGTTCTCAATGAAATTCAGGTAAGGTGAGAGGTGCAGCCGCAAAAAAGTCACGTAAAAGGTGGATCGAAGACAAAGAAGTATTAAGGGCAAAGAATTCAGTACAATAAAATTGGGTTTGAGGCTGGACAACCTGAGCCAGAAGTCCTATGAAATCCCGAAAGTTTCTCCAAACAGAAACCTAGGAAAAATAGTTGTTGAGAGTTGGTCACCAAAAGAATGATCCCTTTCTTACCGGGATCAGTCTTAGAAGAGCGGAGATAATCGGAGTTAGCGCTAGCGCGGCTTCGTCAGTCGCGCTTCCCCCTCCCCCTCCCCCCCCCCATAAGGGTTTAGGTAACGAAGAAACGATAGCGAAAGGTGTACATTCGTACAATGAGCGCCAGCGAAGAATTTTTGCCTTTAGTGTTACATATTCTCCCGTTTCTCTATAGCTCTTATCAAAATGATGTTGCCCGACACATTTGGTTTCGCAGATTCCCGTCAAAAAGCGAATTTTTTTCACTCCACAGTTCTGATATCCGATTCGTCAAATGATTGAATCCTACATAATAAGGTGTCAATCTAAAATTCTCTCGACAAAAGAAGGCTGACGATGCACCTCCCTGCACGGCCATCACGCTGGTGTGGATCCCCAGCGTGATGGTCGTGCTTGGTCGCTGAAGGGAGGTGGGGTTATTTCGAAAGAAAAGTTTGAAACCGAGCTCTGAGAAGAGACTGTTGATTTTTCTCGGTTTTCTTATTCCGCGTGCCCATATGTTCCCCATCCCCTCCACCCATTCAGAGATACGGCAAGTTTTCGGGGAGTGGAGGTGGGAGGAACTGGAGGAACTGGAGAATGCTTGGAAAAACAGCTGCGGAAAATCAACAGTAGGTAATGTTGGGAAAAATTTAGATATATTTTACTCAGATTGTATTTGGGTGGAGGGGAAGGGGTAAGGGTGTACCAGAGGAAGTTCCGAGGAGGAGGTCGTATTCCGCAAAAAGTCTCCCCAACGGCAGACCGTGCACACTGAGGAACAGGAACTTGATTAAAGAGATTACAAGTAAAGGATCCGCAACACACCTTATACAACCGGCTACCTCGTCCGGTATAGCCACTTTGACGAAGGCGTCAGATGCGCATGAAGGCGAAGGTGAGCAGAACTGACGGGAAAGATCCTGAAAAATTATGAAAAATAAAAAAATGAAATAAAAATAAAAATATAAAAATAAAAGAAATCGCGTAATTGGAGCCGAGGAAAAAACAAATACATAAAAGAAGACTACTGTAAGAAGTACACTGAAAAGAAGGCAAAATCACGGTGAAGGCATCATAAAGAACTGAAAAAGAAGGCACAATTCACTGCAAAAACGAACCATTACTTACCATACTAGCCACCATGTCTTCATCCTTTTCGGCCAATTTCTTGATAGCATCGATACTCTTCAGTATATGAATGGCCGAGAATAGCGCCGTTAAGTAATAGGCAGCATCGCCCTTAAAAATCATGGATCGTTATCAAAACATCACAGTCTAGTCACGATAAGTGATCACTGAGTAATGACCTTGGTGATCATTTGTTGAGGGAGTAATTCCCACATGTACCACGCTTCAACCTCACATCCAACAGTCGACGATCGTGCAAGGATGTAAACCAACCATCTGACCAGATCTAAACAGGAAGTAGAAGCCAGTGAGAAAACAATAGTCATGAACTTTTTTTAGGGTTTTTCAACAATTTTACTCACCAAACTTGAGCACTGAGTAAGCTAACCCTAAGAACGGCTCCACATCTAGTTGTTCTATTACACTTCAAGATAGCAAGCTCATGTCAATAGGAGGGAACGGTTGACATGTCTGGGAGAGCGAAATGGACAGTCGTAAGCGCAGGATTCAGCTTGGTCACTGCGGCTGCGACCTTCTAATGAGGTAGGTGGAAAGCTGGGGTTATGAAAGGCCCGAGTGCGAGAGAAAGCATGAGATGACAGCCTCCTTCCTGCCCCGTCCACCAGAGCTCTTCCTTGTATTTGGGCCCATATAGTAAGATAGGAATTATAGGCGAGAACACTGCCTTTGTTGCATCGCCAACAGAGTGCCAAACTCCTTATCCACCATCTAATATGCCCGCTTCCACTGAACATCAACGTATAAGGATAGAATAGGAAGGCTGCGCTAAGACCAGGGTGCCCTCCTCCCTTCACGACCCCCCTCCCTGAAAACTTTGCCCTTTGTTTTTCTCCTTCCCATTCCCATCCGAGCCTACCCATCTTCCCAAATGTTACCAGCTTCAAACCACATTTCCAGAGTAATTTTTAATTATTCTTTTTCCAAAAATTCGACAAATTTTCCCCCAAAAACTGCCGGATTAGTTGAGGGGTGAGATACACAAAACGGGAAAATCAGAGAAGGATCAACAAAACGTTGAAGCTAAGTACAACCTTCCTCCCCCCCACGCGACTAGGGACGACCCCGCCCTCGCTGGGGACTCTCGAAAGTATTAGGTTGTCCGGAAAGTTCTCAGCGTTTTGGGTGTTTCACTTTAAACGATCGTAACTTTTTTAATACTCATCGGATTTAATCGAAATAGGCACCATTCGAATCAGCACACTTTTGCCAATGTGACAGCAGTCGAGAAATCCCATCAAAGTAAAAACTGGGTGGTCGAAAATTCACGAAATCCACGAAGGCTTTTTGCCTGGTCCTGATTGATGAAGTATTTTCCAGCAAGGGAGTTCTGAAAATGTTTG